TGGGCTGACGGCTGCCTGGCCAGTTGCCCCGGATGATCCCACAGAAGTGGCCACCGATGGGCTACTGACAGCTGGAGCTGATAACACTGGATGCAGAGCTGCTATAATAAGCCACAGACCAGTATAATGGTGTATCTATGTGAAACTCTCTGCCCTCGACATGGTTTGTGTGGATATTTAAAGTCTCCTATCCGATACAGTTAAGAGATAATGAGAATGTGTTGCTGGACAAGAAGACGTTATCAAGCTCAAAAGGCTCTCACTGCCCCAGTGAACCCTGGGAATGATTTACTATAGGATTTTTGTAAAGTTCTAATCAACAGAGTCAAGAAACATTTATCTGGATAGCCTATTGAGCGTGGCAATTGAACTGTGCAATGCTTTTGTTTACCTAATGATATAAGTTTACACTTTTACTGGTCCACAAACAGTCTCTATCTAAACATGTATCACTCATACCTTCTCTGGTGTAACTTTGCTCCAACTGGTGTAGATCAGGAAGTAGGTGCATGCAGTTTATGCAGCAGTAGGTGAAGAAGTCAAGCACCACCACTTTGCCCGACAGTTCCTTCCTGAGTGACAGCGGGCCGTCTGTGTTCAACCATTCCAGTCCTGCAAAATAACAATAGAATTGAATGTTTAACTAATATTTTTATTATGAAAATTTACATTAAATGAAAAAATAAATAAATAAATTCTCCTGATATAAGCATATAAAATATGTTGTTTCAAATGATTCAGCATTTTTTGTGGTGGTGCCTTTAAAAAAAATAGGCAAGGCAGATACAAATCTGAATAGACCAGAACCAACACTACAGTGTACTGTGCAACACTCACTGTTGATTCAGTATATTATAAAGCAGTAAAAAGCAGACAGAAGCAATTTGTAATTCCAAAATGTTAGTCGTTTATCTAAACCACGAATCAATCTATGATTGAGCTTAAGTTTCAAAGCCACTCTAATGAGATACAAATACTGTATACATTCTCACACCCAGAGTTCATTTACACTCTTGCCTTCTTCAAAATCCGGTATAATTAAATCGTCCTTTTCGTCTATTTTGTGTAAATACTGATGTACGAGATTTTCCTTCTCTTCTTGAGTCGTCGCGTCTTCTAAAGCATAGTCTAGCTGGCTCTCAATGAGGAAAAGATCTGACAGTTTACTGTAAGACGCCATGACTCCCACAACAACAGAATTGCGACTAACATTTACGTTCGGCACTTTCGACAGACAGATTGCAACAGTATCCAAAACAAAATAAACTCGTTTTGCGAGTAGTTAACATATTCGTCATATTATTAAAAACGCTGTTTGTATTAAATCTATAAATAGATGTCCCATGTCTAATATGAAATTACTCGATACGATTTGCATTATGGAATATGCGAACATCAATGTTCAAATAAATGCGCTTTCAACATTGGCGGTAAGAGTAATGAAAGATACTCGACGGGATTATCTAATATGAACGGTTTTTTGTTGAAATACTTTTACAGAATGCGTCTTTCTTTCGGGATGAATTTCTGAATGATACGGTCTTATTTGTGCGGTGGTCGCGTTTTTTTGTCTTAAGAGAACATGAATGTGATGTTACAAAACAGCTTCGTTCAGAACAAAACAGTAGCATCTGTTAATGATTACAAATGTCACAGAGCGGCTCTGAGAGTGAAATCTGGAATTATAAACCTCTTAAGAAAACCAAAAAACGAAGCTGCAAATCACAGATAACAAGAGAAAATGGGACAAAGAGGAGAAAGGATAGCAATCCTGGGACATCAGTGCAAAAAACAGAAGTCAACAGTGCTGAAACACACACTGGTTTAGACCAGAATGGCAATAATGCTCCCATTAACACTGTGAACTCAGGACCCCTAGACGTGAATCATGGGACACTTTCTCAGGATGTCCAGGAAAAAGACCCTCAGTCAGGAGGATTCTGTCCTGTCTGTCAAATGCCATTTTCCCTCTTGGTGGTTCAGTCACAACAATGGCATGTTGCAGAATGCTTAGATAACCCTGGTGACAACTGTAAAGGTAATGTTTTTCATACATTCATATGTGAAGTCAACAGTCATTCTGTTGTCTAACACCAGATTCAACAACATAGTTGGAAAATGTACATTTACTGTAGATTTAATTCACATGCGCATTATTTTTAAATGATACGCCACTGTAAAATATAAACAGCTAGAGAATGCTATTCTTGAACACAATCAGTTTTGAAACTATTAAAATAAATAAATTGGTCAATGGATTGTTTTTTTTT